GGGGGGGCCGTGCGTCGGTCCCGTACCGGGGCCATTGCAGTTGGCGCTGATGGGCCGGGGGGGCTGCTGTGCGCGCGCGAGGCCCAGAATAACCGAGGCGGCGAGGAGTAGAAGGCCCGGGAGGAGGCGCCAGCCCGGGCGCCGGCGCTCGAGAGGGGGCATGTGCTTGGTGAGGGTTGAGAGGGGGGCGCTTTACTTTTGGCCGAGGGGGCTGGGAGGGGGGGGGAGGAGCAGGGCGAGGCGGGTGGGGATAGAAAGGCGGGTTGGTGACATATGGCCCAGGCCAGCACGTCAACAAGTGAGGGGAGGGGCACTTATATGGCGGCGGCAAGCGGGAGCCAGGGCGGCGCGGTTGTGAGTGTGGGCTGGGACCGTGTGCAGCCGGGAGGAGGGGCAGCGCGTGGCGGGTGTGCGTCGGGGTCGGGCCGTTGGCGGGAGGGTGCGGCGCGTCCGGGGCGCGCTTGGCACGAGGCCGGGCCCCCTGGGGAGCGGGCCCCCGGCGCGGACGGCCCGAGCATGCGGCGGGAGGGGTCGTCGAACCGGGAACACGGCCAGGAAGGAGGGGCGTGCGGAACAAGTGCAACGGGGGCAGGCCGCCGACCGAATGGTACGGCGCGTGTGTGTGTGTGTGTGCGCGCGCCAGTGGGGGACATGCGCCGGGGAGCGGAGGAGCCAGGCCCAAAGCAAGGGACAGCCTCGCGCGCGGGTGCGCCTCTCACGCCCGCCCGGGCCCCTTTGCCCCGGGGCACCTCCCAACACCTCGGGCACCGGCGGCCATCTTCCCGGCATCGTGCGAGACGAGGGTGCATGCAAGAAGCAGCGGGGAGACGGGTCTCGGTGACAGGGGTGCGTCACCAGGTGCGATCCAGGGCCCTCGGTCACCAGGGCCCATGGGCGACGTTTGGATAGGGGCCGCCAGCACCTGGCCGACCTCCAGCCCCCGCGCCCCCCAGGGCGTGGCGGGGGGCGGGGCAGGGCCGGATGCGCCGGGTGCTTTGTGATTGCGCACCGACCGGCGAGAGGCCGGGCGCGGGCGAGAGGCACGGAGCGTCCGGGAGACCTGGTGGAATCCCCCTTCGGGCTGGTCCCCCGCGTCCCAGGCACGCGCCGCCCACGACAGAGGGGGCGAGCCGGCCCAACAGGGGGGCCACTGTCACCCGATTGGTGGCCGTGATCTGGAATATCAGAACATATATTGTTGGCAGGTCGCCCTTTTATGGCGTGCCCATCGCGTGCCCCATGCGCCCGGGGGGCGCCTCCATTCGATCCCCCCCTTGGACATTCCCCGCGGCGCTGGCGGCTGGCCGGCCGCGCAAAAGGGCAGCCTGGCCCAGTCCCGGGAGGGGGGGTGCTGGCTTGTTGTCCCGGGTGCGCTTGGAACGGGGCAGGGGCCACGTTGGCATGTATCGTGCGCCCCATCGGGGGGCGTGAGTGCGGTACGCTCGGGCGCATCCTGGCAACTGTTGCGAGGGGCCCCCGAGGCGGGGGGGGGGGGGGGGGGGGGGGGGGGGTTGGGCCCTGTGCTGAGCGTTCGAGTCTCATGGTGGAGTCCTTCCTGCGCGTGGGTGCCCCGCCCTCCCCGGCCACCCCAGCGCCACTGGTGCCCGCAGGCACGCCCCTGTGAAGTAGGACGGGTGACCCCATTCCGGCGGGGGGTGGCCGAGGAGTGCGAGGGGCCGGCGGCGGTCCGGGCTGATGGAGCGCCAGGGGAGCATGCATCAGTCTCGGCAGGTAGCGAACGCCCAATGGCCATGGTTGGGCAGTGGGCAAAGCCGGGCGCGCGCGGGGCCAAGTGCCGGACGACGGGACATGCGTGCCGGTCCGGCTGTTGACCCGGCGGCTGAGCGGCACAATAGGATGCCAAGAATCGGTAGGTGGAACAGGAAGGGGGAGTGTGTCCTCCGGGATCCGGGACACCTCCCCGGCCGTGGCAGGGACCCCCGAATCGGAGGGCCCTTCCGCCGCGCAAGTGCTGGGCGACACCAGGGGCCAGACGCGCCACGCATCCAATGGCCCTGCAATCCGTCCCTGAGGCCGGGAGATGGCGGTGGGCCAGAATGAAGCATGTGGACCCGGCCGGCTCGGGCCACCCGCAGCAGGTGGGCGAGTGGCCAGCCACCCCGGCCGGGGGCTTCTTTGTGGGTTTGCTCGCGCCCTTGTCGGCGACATGCGAATCGAGCGGCCTCTTGGCTGCCCCGCGGCAGGGTAACGGTGGCCCTCGTCGCATGGCCGGAAAGTCGGGCGGTATTTTCCTCGGTGTGTGCCGAGAGGCACCCTCGTCGTTGAGCCGTACGAGGAGGGGCCGCGGCCGGCGAGAGCATGCTCGACGGAGATGCTGACCATGGTCGACGGGGCATCCAAGCTGAGATCAACGCGGCGGCGCTCGCTCAGGCCACAAAACGAGGAGCCCACGAAGGCCAAGGGGTCCGAAGGAGGTATCCCCAAAGGGGAGCCTCTGCTGCATGTGCACTTCCCCTCCGGAGGGCCCTCACCGCCGGGGGACCCATGCCCGGAGAGTGCCGCATTTGAAGGCTCAAGACGGCCGAGGGCGAGTCGGCGTCTTGAATGCCGGAGCACCGCCGCCCATGTGGCGCCCGCTGCCATGGTGGCTGTGTCGATGCATGGGACGCAGGGGACAGCGCCGGCCCAGTCACTGGGCACACTGAAAAACCGAGCCTGACGTATGGCATCTTCGTTCGGCGGAACCGCAACCGGCATCCGCGGGCAAGGAAATGGGCCAACCCAGTGGACATGTCGGCCCTGGGCGGGGGGGGGGGGCATCCAGCCGAAGCGTGCTCCGGCTACCGAGCGCGTTGACGTCTCGCCCGTCGAGAGGCCTAGCGGGGCGGCAGTCGATACGGGACCTGGCACCCGGTCGCCGCCGGGGGCAGGAGGTGACACGTTATTCGGCAGCCCCGTCGAGGGGGGGGAGGGCCTCGCCCGAAGGCCGGTCGCAGTGGGGCCTCCACTACGGCCACGGCCACCTGTTCTTGGCGATGTCGGAATTGCATGTGGGTCGCTGCCTGACGGCCGGATGATCCTGGCCTCACATCTCCTTCTGGGGTGGCTTCTTTCTGGCATATCCGAGTGTGCGAATGCCCCGGGAGCATGGGGCCCGGAGAGAGTCTGTGCGTGGGTCAGGCTCCATGCGCTGCAGGGCGCGGAGACAGCTTGGCAGTGGATTGGTACTTTCGCCGGCTGGGCCGGGGCAGCCGACGGCAAGGGCCATTGCCGAAGGGTCGGACTGATGTCTCGGCCTATGTACTCGCCGTGTGCCAGGGGTCGCCGCGCGGCATCATGGCAGGCCCTCGGCATCCATGCTCCCGGGCGACGTCAAGGGCACTTCGCTGCCTGCGCTTGTCAATTCGCAAAGGTGGTGCACAAACGTCGGGGACAGCTCGATGCCCGCACCCGACCCCAGAGGGGCCGGGATTCGCCGGAAGACGGCAAGAGCGAGCAGGACCGAAACGAATCCCTGGTCAAATCGCCCGCTGGATGGGAGGGCGATGCGCACGCGGCCAAGAGAGGGAAGGCCGAGGGAAAGTGATGAGGGACATCCGAGGGATGTCCGGTGACAATAATGTGACCCCGGTAGAAGGGGGCCTCTCCGTGGGCGACATCAGACTTGGCTCACGGGGACGGAGAATAAGCACTCTAAACATTACCCTTCAAAAGGACACCGATCAATAAAAAAAAACTCGATAACCACAGTCCGAGAGCTGTGCGAGGAAAAAAAAACATGCGATCTCGGCACACGGTGCACCACCTCCCCCAGGCGAGGGAATCCAACCAAGGCCCGCATGTGCGGCCCGCTGTGCTACGGGGACAAAAACCCCATCTGGCCCGGGCGCCAGTCTGAGGGGGTGTGCGGGGTTGGTGCGCCGAGGCCGAAGGCTTTCTTTGCCTCGTACCTGTCGGCGGCCCTCTGCCGGCCGGTGGTCTTCGGTTTCTCGGTTGCCACACGGCCCGAGCAGCACGGACACGGGTCCCTCGATGGAGCATGCGCCGCTGGGAGTGCGCATCGTGCAAGGGGGCACGGCCGTCGACCCGCCGGGCTGCTTGCCATCACCCAGGCGGCGACCCGGCAGTCGGGACTCCTCCTGGCTCTGACGGGAATCTTTCTCTGGAACCCGGCACAGGTGCGCCAAGGGCGAGGCGTCTCGGAGCTGGGGCGGGCCAAGGACGCGACCGCCGGTCGCACCGGGGGAGACCCATGGACACGGCGTCCGGGGGGGGTCTCGCAGGCCGCGGTGCACCGAGTCGGCCAGAGGGCCGGATAGGCCGCGGGAGCTCGGGGCGCCGTGCGCGGTGCGGCGGGCGCCTGGGGCGGGTGGCCGGCCGATGTACACATCTCACTCGACAGGGTCGGCATGTGCGCACTGTGCGTGCGGGGTCTCGCCCGGCCGGTGGCTTTCCCTTTTCTTGTGCGCGGCATCCGGCTGTGAGCGGCCATGTGCTGTTGGCCGGGAAGGGAGAAGACAGGCTCTCCAGCAGGCCGGTGGCCGGTTGGTCCCTCGCGTGGATCCCCATTGTTCCCTCCCGGGGCATCTTCATTGTTCTACCCCGGGGCATCTGCATTGCTCTGCACCGGGGCATCTGCATTGCTCTACACCGCGGCATCTGCATTGTTCTATCCCGGTGTCGGGGCCCGGCTCGCTGGCACGCCCGGCGGGCATTGCGGTTGAGGGCAAGGCCCGTGGTTTGGGGATGAACAGACGCCCGGCATGCCGGTCAGGGCCGGATCACAGGCGACACGACGGCCGGCGTGCACCTGGGACGGGGGCGGCTCCTGTCGCCTGAAGCTCAAGATGGCAGTTCTGATTGCCCACCGGCGGCCAGCACGGGTCCTCCTCGCGCTCTTTTCCTTCCTGCCAGCTGCATGCGTACTGGGACTCGGCCTTCCACATGGGGGCCAGCCGATGTGGCGGACCTGACACGAGGCAATCGAGGGTGGCCGAGGACGTGGCGCGGGGGGGATTCCCCCACGGTGGAGTGTGGTCATTCGTCGTGTGTCATTACGTTATGCATGTGTGTGCATTTGTGTGTATGCTCGTGACTACGTACGCTGGGTGTGTGCATGGATCGGCACTTGGGTGGACACATGGCCGAGACCGTGCTTGTTGCCCAGTCCCTGGCCGATACATACCGTGGCTATGGGTGCCGGTTGGGGGGACTTTGCGCCCCAGCGATCGCTGGCCAGCAGGCGAGTGGCAACCTGTTGGAACCAGGCCCGCCAGGCGGTTGGGCCGGTGGGGCGTGCTCTCGGCCTTTTCGGCTGTTCCAAATTCGGTGCCATGTACATGCATGTGTTTCTCCGCCTCCTTGACCGCAAAGTAGTCCCCCATCCGGCTCGCGGCAGGGGCACGCCCAAAAGTGCCCTCGGCCGGGCATCGCCCGCGGTATTCGAGTGCCAGGCCAACAGGATGGCGCAACATCGCGTCCACAGGCGATCCGAGAGCATGGTGCTCCCTCTCGCTTTTGCCCATGCGAGCGCCCCGGTCTGGCGCGGCTATCCCAGCCATGGCGTTGAGCAGCTCGGGGCGATGCGCGGCCTGGCATCTCCATGGCCGGACATATGTCACCCTCGCGCAACGAGGCGACTTCGAGCACGCTGGCCTGCTTTGAAGGTTGCTTGGCGGCATTGTCGGCGGTGGGAGGACGTCGATGGCAGTCGCCGGGGGGGGGGGGGGGGGGAGTTTCCATGGAGAAAGGGGCTGGCTGGGCGTGATGGCTGGTTCTATGGTGCCGAGGAGCCGGAGCCGGAGGAAGGGCCGAGGGAGGCTTGCGCGCGCTTTCCGTTCCCGAGCATGGCTTGACGGGCAGCAGTGTGCGCTCAAATCGAGCCGGACAGCGTGCGAATATGTGCCCATGGCCAGAGTGCCATGCGTTGATGTGAACAGAGATGCCAATCGAGAAGTTATGGCGGGTTTTATAATGTGGGATAATGCGAACCCAACAACCAACGCATGGGCCTGTGATATGGCGGCCCTTTGTCGGTTCTTGCTTGATGCACCTCGGCCTGTGTCTGTCGACGTCCGCTGGTTGGGCGTGGACGATCAGGATATAGCTATCAGCATCGGGCGCGTGCATGTGCTGGCTCTTCATCCACAATAACCTCCCTCCCCCTCCTCCGCTGCTCCTCTGCTCCGTTGCTCCTCTGCTCCATTGCTCCTCGGGTTTCTCCTGTCTGCATTGTCTTTTTCTGCTACCCACGAACATTTGTGCATGTGAATCGCCTCACCAACCGGTCGAGCTTGCCCGAATCGCGGGGCCGGGTTTTCTTCGGGGCCGGGCTTCCCCGGACGGCTGATTGGGTCGGGTTCTCGAGCGGGCCGGCCGTCCTTCGACGGTTTGAATGGGGCCTGTTCTACTGGGCCTCGTCGAGGACGTCTCTCCCGGGTCATGCCCAGCGCATGCTCGGAATCCATGGATGGGCTCTACTCCGATGTTCCGATCACTAACGCTCTGCCTGTTTGTGAGTGGTGTGTCGGTCGCCCGCAGCATCCGGGGCTCTTGTGGTTTCTCTCAGCCTCCCCGTTGAGTCTCTCTCTCCCTCTGTATGTGTTTTCGCGTCAGCGCGCGTCTGCGCGGGTGCGGGGATCAGGGGGGGGGGGGGACGCCCTGGGCATGAAGGATTAGCGTCTCGGTCCTGGGGATATGCTGCCGTGCGCTTCTTGATGAGTCAGCAACTCGGCTTGAAGTGGGTGCGCGGCAAGTGACATTGGCCATAACTTATGGTTGTTTAGCAGGGCTCCGAGGGGAGGCCTTGGAGCAGCTGCTCACAGGCCTGGCTGGTACTTCAGCGAGACGATGGCACGCGCCTCCCCAGGCAGCGGCGAAGGTCTTCGCTGGTGGGCGGCTCCCCCGGAAGGAGCCTCCGCTTATGGGCAACGGCTTCGGCCGAGAGGCCGGCCTGAAAGCCTCGCGCATGCACGTGCCCTTCCTTCTTCCCGGGATCGGTGGCCGCATGGCCGCCACCTTGCAGCCGGACTCCTCCCGACGCGAATGCCGCTCAGAGGTCAAGCCGTGTCATGGCAGCCCGGCACGCGCCATTCGCGGCCCAGCAAGTGAGTTGGCTTTGCCCATCCAGGGCATCGACCACACTGCAGTGCCGAGCCCCGTGCCTCACCAGGCCAGAGCAGTGTGCTCCAAGAGGGCACAGAACCTCCGGGACACCGGACGCCAGGCAGACAGGGCCTGGTTCCCGCGACTACACCGTCCTATCTCGGTCGAATGGCATGTTCTTCACGCTCTGCTGCTTGTGTTGCTCTGCTTCCCGTCCCTTTGCCACGCCGGTGGTGGTTTACCGAAACCCCAGGGGGGGCAACCTGGCGGATGTGTGCCTTCGAGCGAAGGAGATTGTGGAAGACTGCGGTGCGCCGAACGCCCGGGCGTCCGCCTCCCCCGGGCGGGTATACCCTCATCCAGCCGGCCCTGTGCCGGTGGACAACCATCCCGGCAGATCTACACGTAGCCCATTGGATAATCCATCGCCCAGGAGGCCCAGCCGTGCGGGCCCTGCTGTCGGGCTGTTTTTTTTGGTGGGATGGCTGGGCAGCGGCTCCCGGGACCCACCCCCCCCGATGCACGGAAGGCCCCATGCCCGGGCGGTGGCAGAAAGGGGTATGCCAGCCGCGCCGCGGCGGTGATCAGAGTCGTATGTCCTGTGAGAGACGGCGTGGAACTGTCGCTTGTCTAATGTTGGTCGCGTTCGAGCCCCCGGAATTGCTTTCTCGCCAGCGGAAAGCCAAGGGGCGAAGTGAAGTGGTGGCAGGGAGGCTGCCGTCCACTTTCCAGCGGCCGGCGAGGAGCTCGGGGCCCGTCATTTCTGATGGCGTGGGACGCATCCGTCGACAGTAGAAGGTCGCCTTTTATGCTGGCTGGCCCGGATTCTCGCGCGAGTGGCGTATCCGCACCCCCCTCCTGTGCCTCTGTCCGCGGATGTGGATTTTTCGGCGCCCGGGGGACAGCTCTTCGACCTTGTCGAAGCGCTGGGGATCCCACCCGCGGGCCGAGGGATGGCTCTGCACGTGTGCCGCGCCTCCTCGCGCCGCACGCACACGCCGGACGCGCTGTGGCCACACGTACAACGTGGTGCCTGCCTCCTCATCTACGCGCGGTTGTAGGTGTGCCCTGTCAGTTGTGCCGGCGCGCAGGTATTCGATGGATGTAATGGCACTAGCTGCCTGCTTGGCTCTTTTCTCTCCTTCCCCCCACACAAACGCAAACGCCGGCACACGCTGTGGGTCGCTGGGTGGCATCTTCCCCCTGCGCTGCTCTTTCTTGGCGTCCGGACTCATTGCCGCCACCAGCAAGCCGGTCAATTGGTGCGCCGGGGACCTGCCGGGTGGAGGCTCTGCAGCGGGCGGGGCATGCATTTTAGGCGGTTATTTCTGCTGGGTATGTGTCTGGGAGGGGGAGGACCTTCACGGGGCGATCCTGACGGGCAACTGACGAGTGACAGCCCGGCCCTTCGGGAGTCCCGACACCTTGCCTGGGGGCTGGCCCGGCGCCCATGCTTGGGCTGTCTCGAAGGGAGGGAGGCCTCCCGTGCGGTTGCCCGTGCTCTGTGTGTCTGCGCTTGTGGGGCGTGTGTTGTCATTGTCGGGGCGTCGGGGATGACGTCGGGGGAGGCCTGGAGCAGGAGGGCAAGGCTTGCTGGCAGATGTGCGTTCTTTGAGATCTGAGGCGCATGAAGTCGCGGGTTGCACACGGTGCCAGGGGACCGGTCGGTGGCCTGATCGGGATGCTATGGGTGGGTAGTCTGATGTGTGTGTGCGTGTGTGTGTGTATATATTTGTGTGTCTATGTGTGTGTGTACAGCAACAGGGCCACCTCGATCTCGCGAGGGGGGGCCCCGGACTGCGAGGAATGGGCCCCCCGTGGCCCGAGGGGTGCGCCGACTACCACCTGGAGCGGTGCCAAAGGAGCCTGATCTGCGGGCCAATGCCGATTGTCTGGGGTGGCGCGAGCGGGTGAGCACCGGAGCTCGTGCGACAGCGATCCGCCGGCATCTTTCAGCGGGATCTTCTCTCCTGGACCCGGGGTGGAGGTGGCTTGCACGGTGTCAGCTTCACCGAAAGGCGGCGCGAGTTCGAGGTCTTTGCGCGTGGCTTGGACGGAGGGTGTGACGTGCGCACGTAAGGGCCCCATGCCCGAAGGAAGGGAGAATGGTCCAAGTCTCTTCTTCTCTGGTGACGGGGCCAAGAAGGCAAGGGGCGAGAAGCCGTGCGCATTGCCGGACTACGGTGTGCTTCGAGGCCCGCGAGGCCTCCGCTCCGGCGGGAAAGATAAAAGCCGAGCCGGACGCTCCGAGCGGGGAAGCCTCGGCGAGGGGCCAGGGAAGGGCCGCACTTCGGGCGGTGCAAGGCTCGGACCACACCTTCAGGTGGCATGTCGGGGCAGCCGTGTGCGCGTGTGTGTCACCAGCTGTGGCCGGTAGATGTGCATTGGTCCGAGGATGACCCTGTGGGACCGGTCCCGGGTGCGCGATCAGGGTGGGGGAGCAGAGGCAAGGTCAAGGATCGGGAGGTACAGGGAGAAGGGAGCGAGGAGAACGGTGGCCACCGAGTTGCTGGGGGGGTCTTTTCATCAGGGAGGAGAGAGCGAGCGAGGGGCCCGGCCTGCTGAGGCCCGACCGAAGGCGGTAGGTGCCTCCCGAAGTCCAGTGGTAAGGCCGCGGCAGCTGTCAACGTATCAGGGGGCTCGGAATGGCCCCCACTGGCAGTGACCGGAGAATCCCGCCCGCGGCGGCGGCGGTGGCGGCAACTGGAGATGCCTGGGGCGACCAAGGGAGTGGAGTGTTTTCGAGCCCGGGGTTGGAATGTCAAGGCCCGGCAACCCCCTCAGTTGGGCGGCTGGGGGAGGGGCGCGGCGTCAACGTAGGCGAGCCTGGTCCCCGCGTCCGGGGAAACAGACGCCGGTCTTCTGGCCGGTCGGGGTAGATTCCAGGATGCCTCACCGGGGGGAGGACGCGCATGCAAACTCACACAGACACACACACACACACACATTTACAGACGCGAATGTGCAGGCAAAACAAGTAGGCTCAAACGTGGATCAGGTGGGGTTTTATTGAGGGGCGTCTTTGCTGCGGGAGATGTCGCAGGAGAGTCGACGCAAGACCTTCAGGTTGGTCCGGGAATTGACTCACCTGGCGAGTTAGACCCTGTTACGGGGGAGGGCGGCGTGGGTGACGGTGCCGGGGATGCTGCAGCAGTCAATGCCGTAGCCAGGCGGACAGGCGCGAAGGCGGCACGTCCCATTGGTGCAGAGGGGGCAGTTACCGCCGCAGCGGATGCAGGGCGGGCAGCGACGGCGACCAGTCGGCTTGGGGGGCATTTTTCGGTGCAGAAGGAGAAGCCTCGGAGCTGGTGAGGCGGAGGGGAGAGGGGCGAGAGCGAGGCGAGAGGGGCACGGGAGGATGAAAAGTTGCTGGAGGTGGGACAACATCGGCTCCTTATATAGGGTCGCGCATGGGCTTGGGCAAGAGGGCCTGCATGCAAGTGGCCATGGGCAACTCGCACACATGCAGGTAAACGGAAATGCATACAGACACGCATATAGACACGCATACGGGCGCGCATACGGGCGCGCATACGGGCGCGCATACGGGCGCGCATGCGGGCACGCTTACGGGCGCGCTTACGGGCGCGCTTACGGGCACGCATACGGGCGCGCTTACGGGGTAGATGATGGCCAGGGCCATAATTGCAAGGCTGACCGTCCCCTCTCTCAGCCACGCACATGCACACATATGCTCATTTGCATACTCGCACATAAGCCGCTGCGCTAACGCACCGCCAAATCCGCCCAGATAAGCTTCCACGCACGCTCCGGCACTGACGCCCGGAAAGTGGTCCCTCTTGAAGGCCCCCGGATATCGCGCGGGTACCCATCGGGCTGCTCTGCGTGTCGCCCCTCCCCCGACCGGTCGGGGCTTCCAAGGCCGCCTCCGAATTCGGCCTCCGCGCCCTGGCCCCCGGACGCGCCCCAATTTTCCTTCCCCCACGCCAGGTCCCGCTCAGCTGGCCTCCTTGCGGGCGCGACCCCCCTGCCAGGAGGAGAAGCCTGCCTGCGTCATCCTGGCCCCGACCCGGGCAGCGCCCGACCGTCCTGGGGCTGTCCAATATTTCCCTCACAGCCGGGATGGCGAGGCCCCCACTCTAGGCTGGGCTGAGTGGATTACCCCTGCGCCCTCGGTGCCTCTACTCATCCCAGGCCGCTCATGCTGCCCGGTTATTCGCCTGCCCGAAGGGGGTCGACGGTTCGCCTCTTCGCCGGGGACACGTTCCGGCGCAGGAATGCTGGACTCGGGCCTCGACTGAAGGAGGGGAGGGGGTCATCCCTCCGCCAGCCACACAGGAGGGCGGCCAAGCTGCCGGCGGGAGTGAAAGTGCCGGCCAGCCAAAATACCCCACCACCCTGAAAATGCCGGGTGTCGGGGGAGGCACGACGCCAAGCGTGTCGGAGGGCGCCTCCGTGCTGGCCTGCCGACTCGAACTATGGCGGTGCGTGAGGCGGGGCGTGCTGAGGCTGAAGCCACGTTTTGGGCCTGAGCAATATGGGCCCGCTGAATGGTGTCGGCACGCACCTGTGGCTCTGGAGCTGGAGGTGTGTCGGCGGCTGGTGATGGCCGCAGTGGAGGCAGGAGGGCAGACGCTCAGCATGTGCAGACCGCAGGGAGGACCCGGCGAGAGTTTCTTCCCGCCGGGTCCTTCACTTGCGCCCGCAATCTCGCCTGTCGCCGAAGTGACGCGTGCTCCCTGGGCCTGAGTGCCAGTGAGGCCTCCGGCAGCTCGGGAGATGACACGAATGAGATCCTCCGGCGGGCATGTCTCGCGTGTGCACCCCCTGAATGAGAGGCCAGGGGGCCTGTGATCGGTCCGACCCGGATGAGTACGGGCTCTCGATCCTCTGGCCTCGGATGAGGCACAACCATCGAAGAGTATGCTCAAAGCCCTTCGGCTTCAGCGGAGAATGAGGCGAACTCTGTGGGTGGGTCTTGTGGGTGGTATTGGGTGCCAGCATGCAGGGGCGGTGGCCCGGGGGGACGCGGACCGATGCACCAGCGGTGCCAGGGGTCCCTGCGGGTTGGAGACCAGCAAGGGAGTTTGGAGCGATGGCTGCCCTTGTGCGGTGTCTCCCCTCGACCGACGGGAGGGAGGGGGAGATTGGCTGCATTCTTGTCTGTCAACGAGGGTGGGCCGCCCCTCGGCCTCTCCCCGGCCAGAACGGGCCAGGTAAAACGCGGCCGGGATTCCGCCATCTTGACTGCCTCTACTCTGGGCCTTCAGCGCGGCAGAAGGGACAAGGGAGAACAAGCCAATACCAATAGAAGTGTCCCAGTGGATTGTCCGTCTCTCGCGTGAGCAGCCCCTCCCGTGCCAGCTGGCCCTCCCGAGGAGAGATGGGCATTGGAAATGGGAGCACGGTCCCTCGCAGCCGAACACGCATGGCGAATGGCGATCGCCATCTTGGGCCCGCGCCACTCGAGGCGGAGCAAGGTGGAATCCCTCGGGACTCCGTAAATTGGACGACCTGCATCATTTCGAGCGCACGTGCCTGTTCTCGTGACGCGGTTAGCCCTCCGAAAGAGCCCCGCTCTGAGGCTTCCTCTCGAAGCCCCTTTGTTTGTATATTTCTCCCCTCAATCAACTTCGCGCTCTCCCCCGGTCGAGTTTTGCTGCTCCCTCTCTCCCTCCGAGTGACCGTGTATATTCTCGGGTCTGATACGCCCTCCTCTCACGAAACCCGAGGGGGGCCCAACCAGCGGCAAGGTCCCCGGTATGGCTTCCGACGGAGCGTCTCCCCTTTGATGGTAGGGTGGATATGTGGCTGCGCCCCGTTTTCAGGCAACGCGCAAGACGACCTACTTCCCCGGCTCGGGGACCGTTTGGTTCCGACGCATCCTGTGTGTTCCCCGGACTGTCAGCCTCAGTCTGCAGGTTCTCGCCCTTGGACCGCCCCGTCCGCCCTCCGCAACCACCGGTGACTGTGGACCTCCACTACCCTCCTTCTCCGGACATCAGTGGCTCTTTAGCCGCATACCGCCTTCACCCTCTTTTCCCCTCCCTCCTCAGCATGACACCCTACTTGGATC